GAGTCACCACAGCCACCTGGCACTCCACCTCATAGAGCTCCTTTTTCAGCCGCTCCACCTCCGCCTGCGAAGCAGCGAGCTGGACCTCAGCAGCTCTCTTTTCCTCCTCTGCCTTGGCAGCTTTGGCCTGGGCAGCTCGCACAGCGTCCCCGTAATGCATTGCCTCCTCGAGGCGCTTAGCGAGGTCCTCCCTCTTGGAGTTTAGATCCTTCACCAAGCCCTCGAGTTGGATACTCGTACTTAGTGCTCGGGCCACGCAGGCGCTGTTCGCCGCCACCAAGTCTTCAGCAGTACAGGAGGCGGTGTGTTCCCTCCACTCTTCAGTCCAATACTTGCTGTGGACCACCGCCACCGCAGCTGTTTCTGGAGGGAGAGCCTCCAGCACCTCCCTTACCGGCTCTTCGGAACTGGTGCCGAGGAAGTCAACCTCTTTGCTGGAGCGAGCCCTTTTTCTCCTCTGCTGCCCCGGAACATGTTCAATAGGTACAGCCGCGAGGGGCGCCGCGTCCGGGGCAGCGACAGGCTCCGTAGCAGTGGGATTTCTCTCTGGGAGGGCCACCCCCGTGGGAATAGTTGTCTGCCGCATAACTGGGGGTGGCCTCGCCACAGTTGGGCGTTTGGGAGGTACAGTACTTTTCTTGCCCTTCCTTTGAAGGTCGGCCTCTGGATCTTCCTGAACCTCCTCCTCCGTCGGAGGCTGAAGTCTCTTACTGGCCTCCACCAGCTCCTCCATTTGCTTTTTATATGAAGAGGAGGAGGCCTTCAGCGCCCTTGCTTCGGCCATCATTTTCTGAATTGTTTTGAAGTCAGGGCGTACTGGCAGCTTCTTCTTGAAGTTATCTGCAAAGAAACGAGTGAGGAATTAATACAAGTATAGGGAGTTCAGTTTAAAAGAGTGTGGGCTTCGGTCCTATTACCTTGGGACGCCATTAATTCGTGAGTGATGAAGTGTATGTTTTTCCGAATGAGCCTGTGATATGATCTTTTCTTCTGAGGCAGTTGATAAATAACGCAAATAATGTCGAAGTCCTCTGTCGACAGCTCGCACCGAGGGAGGGAACCTACGAAAAGAAACATCTGTTAAACACAAGCCCGACCGAAGAGAAATAAAATATCAACTACTATACTCACTAAGTGTTGAAAACTTCGTCGGGACTGTAAGAGGCGCCAGGGGGTCCCCCTCCATTGTGTCCCATCGTCCCGCTGCCCAGCACCAAGAGCTCTTCCATTCCTTGATGGAGCTCGGCAGATCGATCACAAATGGAGTGTGGGAACCCCATGACGTCAGGTAGTACCAGCCCCGGGTCTTATCCCCCCCGGCAGTAACCTTGGGTATGTAAAGAGTTTGGAAAACGGAAAGGGGCATCTCCACTCCTAACGACGCCTCTTTCCACAACATCCAGGAGCCCACCATCTGGCTCCAGGAGTTCGGATTGAGCTGCGTCGGGGCTAGCCCGTAAGACCTAAGCACCAACCTAAAGAACGGGTGAATAGGCAGCCTAAGTCCGGCCCTAAGGATCGCCTCGCTAATGGCCACGCAGCCCGGCCTTGGATAACAAGCCCTCTCTTCTGGCCCTGGGAGAATCAGGTCCACATTGTCCGGGATCCTATATTCCGTCCTAAGTCTACCAAGGTCGGCCTCCCTCAACTTTGATGGGTAGTCCGATGCCCCCCAGTGCACAGAGGTATCCGGAGGGCTATCTGGTCGCTTCCACATGTTTTCCCCTCCCATTATGGCCCCAACTATTTCTGAGGAGGTCGCCACAATGGGCTCGTCCACCCTCACAATCTCTAAACTCCTACCCATACCAGAACTCCCTTCCGAGGCCATTCGTTAAGAAATATTTAGTCTAAATGGGTACTGGAACTTACGGGTTCGAAAGTGTTTCCTAGCCGGAAATGGTGCAAGAGCGCCGGAAATATCACTCTCTGTCGCCGGAGTTACTTGTAGAACGCCGGAAATCGCCGAAAACTTGGGAGAAAATTTTGTTTTTTCGTGGCAAAGGTAGAAACTCTGGTAAGCCCCCAAAGTTCACCTTTTATAGAAAAAACGAAACCAATCTCCACCTTTGAATTCAAATACGGTCAATCTAAACCGTCCGTTGTATTCTCGATCCCAGCCGTTGAAATGAAACGCCACATGTGATCTAAGCCCAAGATGTCGCCGTGGCTTTCACGCTAAAATGAAACGCGTCGCCTCGGTTAACAACAGCCGTCAACAATAATTACTGGCCGCGACAGCCTTCTAGGGGAATGGGTGTGGTACCCAACTGTCACCTTGGAAACACGCAACAGTTGTCAAATCATTGGACTTCTGGGTCACCTCGGATTATCTCCTCCCCCCACTTTACAAAGCTTGGCCGCAACCGATGCGAAGGCCCCAGTCGCTAATCACCTCGGGCGCTGCGTTCCCTCCATTGCTTTACGAAGTTCTAGCCATCTCCCCACGCGTCGACCCTTTGTCCGTCAACGCTTCGACGAGAACGAGTCCCCCAACTTTACAAAGCCTGGGCGCACCCGGTGCAATTGCCCCGTTTGCTATCACCTCGGTCGATGCACCCCCATCCCATGCTTTGCAAAGCTTGAGCCGTCTCCCTCTTCCTGACAACGCTTCGGTGAAGACGAGTCCCCAAAAATTTCTATAACGCTATAACGCTCTGCGTTCTTCCAATGCTCTACAAAGTTTCGGCTGCCCCCATGCCGCGATCCGGTCAGGAAAACAAATCCACGTATAATATAAATATCCATTCTCAGGTTTGGGGGACCACTGTTACGCCTCATTTTATGAGCCTCGCTGATTCTGACACATTTTCTGAGGCAATTCATAAGCCCTCGCTTATTGGAGCTACCCATCTTTTGAGGCAATCTGTAGGACCTCGCCTACTTGAGAGTTTAGTTTTCAAATCCGACCCGCATATAAATAACACGACTCGGACTTGGGGGACTACTGTTACGCCTATGAATTATCACTCCATATTGGGCCACCTTATTGGACCCGAGCTAGGGCCATTAGTGTTGTGCGCCTAGCCGAAGTGCCTATCACTCCGCTCACCTCGTACTGGACTCGAACTTAGGCCCATCAACCCGCCTTAGCCCATTTCACATCATTTCTCTATAATATGAATTCAATTCACAAGTTAAGGTTTCGAGGGGACGAAGCGAGGGTGCCTGTTGGAGCCATTTTTGGAGGTCAACAGATTTCCTTTTTATGAGCCTCGGAACCACTCCGACCCCCCGAAGCCTCTCCGAAGTGATACATCGATTCCTGCCACTGATATTCTGAAGTGTCCCGTCTCCGAGGTCGGGTTCAAGTGGCTTGAACCCCCGTTAGAAGATTCGCTGCCAATTTAAGATTTGCTCTGCATATAAGGTTTAAATTGATGTGACGTCCCCCATAAAGCTATTTGATGTGACTTATCAACTTTATGTCAATTCGACTAGGGGGAAACAAACTGTCCGCCCACTCTACAAGCGCGGCTGATTGACGTCTATGAGCAGACACTTCATACCGTCAGATGTATACACGTGTTCCACATCCCACGGTTCATACCATCTATAAATACCCAAAGATTGGCCAGAGGCAAAGGTAATGAAACTCTCAATAGATAGCACTTCATAACAAGTTTATATATATTCTCCTCCCCCTTTATTGACTGATTGAGTTGTGTAGTCCCTGAACACTGCTCCGACCACCCAAATCTGACTTGACCGTCGGAGTGTATACGGCCGCCACCACCGTTGGTTCCGGCCGTGTGCGCCTGACAGTGTGTTCATTTCGTAGGGAGGAATACGTGGAGTAGCTACAAGTTGGCCACGTGGAAGAGCCATTTTTAGAGGTCAACACTGATAATCGAGCTTACTAAATTGCAGATTGAGAGTGAGAGATCTGTGCAAAAGGAAAAGATACTTGAGGTGTAAAGAATCAAGGATATTAACAAACTCATGCAGCCATCGATGGAAAAATCTGGTAATTTTAGCTATATATCTAAAGTGGACTTATTTCCCTTCTGGGGAAAAGAAATTGCTGTAACATCAAGGATAGTTGGCTCTTTCAAATGCACCCATGATCATGGCGGATCCAGGAAAAAATTTAACACAAGCTAATGCGTATATAAAAAAAAAAAAATATATATATATATATATATATATTGCACATAAAAAAACAATTTACTTAAAAAAATTTTAATGAACATTTGGACCAACCGCCCATGCCCATGATGGATAGTTATGAATTAACATATGTCCTTGTTTGTGTCACTTCTGATCATCTGTGTCTTAAGCTCGTTAATTGTGCTAATATCAGTTAATGTCGACTTTTCTACTCGTGTAATAGTGCCACACTGAGAAGGTTATAAGATAATTTTGAAGCTATCTTAATGCCAAGATTATTAAAAAAAAGTATGACAAACAAAAAGGAACTGGGAATAACTATTTTTGAAGTTTTAAGTTACTGTCATTGAAGGTATTCATACCCTTGTCATGGACATCCTAGGCAACCAAACTAGATTAGTTTGCTTAAAATTTTCCTTTTATCAAATTCTGAACTTCCCAGTTTCTATACGTGCAAAAATCTTTGATCAGATTCTTTTATCAATAAATAAAAAATTCTATAATTTATTTCTCCAAGTAAACAGCTACGCGAAGTTTTAGCAATACAATATGCAACAAGTATAGTAATACTTTCCTTCTACTATTTTCTATTTTAATTTGTAGTTACTATATATGCATATTTTGGAACGCTAATAACAATGAATATGGGTTTATTTTAAATTGTCTAGCATAAAGTGAAAAGTTTTATCCGTATTAGATTTATTTGGTTTACCCTCGCAGTACAGTCCCCAATGTACAATTTTATTTTTTTTTTTTTGATAACCCAGGTGTCCCAGCTTAGTCGGACTAAATCCTGGACCTCTAGCCCCCGGCCCTTCAGTGACTAGTGGAGGTAAATCGCAGGTTGTGCCCTTGTTGGTTCCCACATGGCTTTTACTCCTTCCCCAAAGGGACCCTCCTCCATGGTTATTACATCACCAAGCTGCTCCAACCCTTCCTCTGGTTATTACATCACTTGGCTGCTCCAACCAGGAATCGAACTCCCCACACTTGGTTCCAGAGCCCCCCAATGTGATTGTTCCGCCAACTTGGATGTGCCCTGGGGGGCCCCAATGTACAATTTAAACCCGTCGTTAAGTAGGTTTAGACCACAGATGAAACTTGGATTTCAACTTATGCCAAAAACTTGTCATTTCTAGACTTTGCGCTTGATTGGTCATGCTTAGCTCGGGTTGGTATCAATTAAAATCAAAATTTTAATTTAAGTCAAAGTTAATAATTAATTTTAGTCACTGTAATTGAGGGTGGGCTTAGTACAATAGTCTGTTCAGGGATAAGATATTGGAAATTGATTCACATTCTCTAAGAAAATCACTTTTCATACGAACACTTTAATATAATTTGGTTTCAAATTGCTTTGATTAATTATTTAAGTGAAATCTGCTAGTCGACTAGGGTAGCTCGCAAGTATGCGTTCTTCGACACGAGGAGATGGTCGTAGGAATTTTTTTATGAAACATTTGAAAAATTGGATTAGTGTTGTACTAATTTGAAAGGACACTCGACCATTTTATATAGTTTGGAACTTGGATTTGAGCCCAATAACCATAGGCACTTTAGCTGTGTTTTGGCCATGCACTCTTGATGAGGCCATGTATACCTCACTAAGATTCCCATTGATACTTCAGCCACATTTTCTTGCTTTTATTATTATCTTTTTCTTCATTTTTTCTTATGACAGAATGAGATTTCATATTTTGTTACACGAATAATGTTATTCATAGTCAGCGATTGTCGGTGGTCATCTTATAAGTCGGTTTGTTATTTGAGGCATTAATGGATGACAAGCTATTTTACTATACTCGTACTTTTTTCAATTGCTCTAGAATTGCCCTGTTTGACAATTATTATTTCAAAACTTTTTTTTACATACTCATTTTCAATCACATGTACACACAATGAAATATTCTGCACGTAAATTCAAAAAATTTCCCTACTTTTTAATTATGCATTCTCCAAAAAAAATTACTATTCAAAACACCAT